CATTCTTCAACATTTTCCAACATTCTTCAACATTTTCCAACATTCTTCAACATTTTCCAACATTCTTCAACATTTTCCAACATTTTTCCAACATTTTTTCCAACATTCTTCAACATTCTTCAACATTTTCCAACATTCTTCAACATTCTTCAACATTTTTCCAACATTTTTCCAACATTCTCCAACATTCTTCAACATTCTTCAACATTCTCCAACATTTTTCCAACATTCTTCAACATTCTTCAACATTCTTCATTATTTCCCCATCCTCATATTCTTGCTAATTAATTAATAATTTAGCAGTCTTAATTTTTTCTCTCTCAGGAACAATTAGAGAGAGAGAGAGGGGGGGAGAGAGAGAGGGGGGGGGGGGGGGGGGGAGAGAGAGAGAGAGAGAGAGAGAGAGAGAGAGAGAGACTCTTGGCCTTTTTCTCAGAGCCAAATTTTTTCCTCCACTAAATCTTGGTCGTGACACACTGCTGAGATATATGATCGTGTGGCCCTGTGTGGTCTTCTGTGGCCCTGTGTGGCCATGTGTGGTCTTCTGTGGCCCTGTGTGGCCATGTGGCCTCTGGCCCTGTGTGGTCTTTTGAGGTCATGTGTGGCCTTGAGACCCTGATTTTGTGGTATTCTGTGGCCCTGTGTGGTGCTGTGTGGCCCTGTGTGTGGTGCTGTGTGGCCCTGTGGTGCTGGGTGGCCCTGTGTGGCCCTTGGAGTAATTCTTGGAGGTTATCCTGAGGTAATCCTGAGGTAATTCTGGAGGTAATTCTTGGAGGTTATCCTGGAGGTAATCCTGAGGTTATCCTGGAGGTAATCCTGAGGTAATTCTTGGAGGTTATCCTTGAGGTAATCCTGAGGTAATTCTTGGAGGTTATTCTTGAAGGTAATCCTTGGAGGTAATTCTTGGAGGTAATTCTGAGGTTATCCTAAAGGTAATCCTTGGAGGAGTAATTCTGGAGGATATCCTTGGAGGTAATTCTTGGAGGTTATCCTTAAAGGTAATCCTGAGGTAATTCTTGGAGGATATCCTGGAGGTAATTCTGGAGGTTATCCTGAAGATAATCCTTGGAGGTAATTCTTGGAGGCTATCCTTGGAGGTAATTCTTGGGGTTATCCTTGAGGTAATCCTGAGGTAATTTTGGAGGTAATCCTTGGAGGTTATCCGTGGAGGTAATTCTTGGAGGTTATCCTGAAGGTAATCCTGAGGTAGTTCTTGGAGGTTATCCTTGGAGGTAATTCTTGGAGGTAATCCTTGGAGGTAATCCTGGAGGTTATCCTGGAGGTAATCCTGGGAGGTTATCCTTGGAGGTTATCCTTGGAGGTAATCCTGGAGGTAATTCTTGAGGTTATCCTTGGAGGTAATCCTGAGGTAATTCGTGGAGGTTATCCTGAGGTTATCCTGAGGTAATCCTTGAGGTAATTTGGAGGTTATCCTGAGGTAATCCTTGAGGTTATCCTTGAGGTAATCCGAGGTTATCCTGGAGGTTATCCTTGAGGTTATCCTTGGAGGTAATCTGGAGGTTATCCTGAGGTAATCCTGGAGGTTATCCTGGAGGTAATCCGAGGTTATCCGGAGGTTATCCTGGAGGTTATCCTTGAGGTAATTCTGAGGTTATCCTGAGGTAATCCTTGAGGTTATCCTGAGGTAATCCGAGGTTATCCTTGGAGGTTATCCTGGAGGTTATCCTTGGAGGTTATCCTGGAGGTTATCCTGGAGGTAATTCTTGGAGAATGTGGCCAGCTTAAGAACCGTGATTGGTCAGATTTTATTTTGTTGTATATTTATCTATCTATCTATCTATCTATCTATCTATCTATCTATTGGTTTGGTTTGGTTAGGTTAGGTTAGGTTAGGTTAGGTTAGGTTTGGTTGGGTTTGGTTAGGTTAGGTTGGAGTTGGTTTGGTTTGGTTGGGTTGGGTTTGGTTAGGTTGGGTTAGGTTAGGTTGAGTTAGGTTGGGTTTTGGTTTGGTTTGGGTTTGGTTTGGTTTGGTTGGGTTAGGTTTGGTTGGGTTTGGGGTTTGGTTGGGTTTGGTTGGGTTAGGTTTGGTTTGGTTTGGTTAGGTTAGGTTTGGTTTGGTTGGGTTAGGTTAGGTTAGGTTAGGTTAGGTTTGGTTGGAGTTGAGTTTGGTTAGGTTAGGTTTAGGTTTGGTTAGGTTTGGTTAGGTTTGGTTTGGTTTGGTTTGGGTTAGGTTAGGTTTGGTTGGGTTTGGTTTGGTTTGGTTTGGTTTGGTTAGGTTAGGTTAGGTTGGGTTGGGTTTGGTTAGGTTAGGTTAGGTTAGGTTTGGTTGGGTTTGGTTTGGTTTGGTTAGGTTAGGTTGGTTTGGGTTTGGTTTGGTTTGGTTTGGTTAGGTTTGGTTTGGTTGGGTTAGGTTAGGTTGGGTTTGGTTGGGTTGGGTTTGGTTTGGTTGGGTTGGGTTTGGTTGGGTTTGGTTTGGTTTGGTTTGGTTTGGTTGGGTTTGGTTTGGTTAGGTTAGGTTTGGTTGGGTTTGGTTTGGTTTGGTTTGGTTTGGTTTAGTTGGGTTTGGTTAGGTTAGGTTAGGTTAGGTTTGGTTAGGTTAGGTTTGGTTTGGTTTGGTTAGGTTTGGTTTGGTTAGGTTAGGTTTGGTTGGGTTTGGTTTGGTTTGGTTTGGTTAGGTTTGGTTTGGTTAGGTTAGGTTAGGTTTGGTTTGGTTAGGTTAGGTTTGGTTGGGTTTGGTTTGGTTTGGTTAGGTTAGGTTAGGTTAGGTTTGGTTAGGTTAGGTTTGGTTAGGTTGGGTTGGGTTTGAGTTGGGTTTGGTTGGTTTGGTTTGGTTTGGTTGGGTTAGGTTAGGTTTGGTTGGGTTTGGTTTGGTTTGGTTTGGTTTGGTTAGGTTAGGTTAGGTTAGGTTTGGTTTGGTTAGGTTAGGTTAGGTTTGGTTAGGTTTTGGTTTGGTTTGGTTAGGTTAGGTTGGGTTTGGTTTGGTTAGGTTAGGTTTGGTTGGGTTTGGTTGGTTTGGTTTGGTTGGGTTTGGTTTGGTTAGGTTAGGTTAGGTTTGGTTTGGTTAGGTTAGGTTTGGTTGGGTTTGGTTTGGTTTGGTTAGGTTAGGTTGGGTTGGTTTGGTTAGGTTAGGTTTGGTTGGGTTTGGTTTGGTTTGGTTAGGTTTGGTTTGGTTAGGTTAGGTTGGGTTTGGTTTGGTTGGGTTGGGTTTGGTTGGGTTTGGTTTGGTTTGGTTTGGTTGGGTTAGGTTGGGTTTGGTTGGGTTAGGTTTGGTTTTGGTTGGGTTAGGTTGGGTTTGGTTAGGTTGGGTTTTTGGTTGGGTTAGGTTAGGTTTGGTTAGGTTGGGTTTGGTTAGGTTTGGTTTGGTTAGGTTTGGTTTGGTTAGGTTAGGTTAGGTTTGGTTGGGTTGGGTTTGGTTGGGTTTGGTTAGGTTAGGTTTGGTTTTGGTTGGGTTGGGTTAGGTTTGGTTTGGTTGGGTTGGGTTTGGTTGGGTTTGGTTGGGTTAGGTTTGGTTGGGTTTGGATTGGGTTGGGTTTGGTTGGGTTAGGTTGGGTTTGGTTTGGTTTGGTTAGGTTGGGTTGGGTTTGGTTTGGTTAGGTTGGGTTTGGTTGGGTTTGGTTAGGTTGGGTTAGGTTAGGTTAGGTTGGGTTTGGTTGGGTTGGGTTTGGTTTGGTTGGGTTGGGTTGGGTTTGGTTGGGTTAGGTTTGGTTGGGTTGGGTTTGGTTTGGTTAGGTTAGGTTAGGTTTGGTTGGGTTAGGTTTGGTTTGGTTTGGTTAGGTTAGGTTTGGTTGGGTTAGGTTTGGTTTGGTTAGGTTAGGTTTGGTTGGGTTAGGTTAGGTTTGGTTGGGTTGGGTTGGGTTTGGTTAGGTTGGGTTTGGTTTGGTTGGGTTAGGTTGGGTTTGGTTAGGTTGGGTTTGGTTAGGTTGGGTTTGGTTTGGTTGGGTTAGGTTGGGTTTGGTTAGGTTGGGTTTGGTTTGGTTTGGTTTGGTTAGGTTTGGTTGGGTTGGGTTTGGTTTGGTTGGGTTAGGTTGGGTTTGGTTGGGTTGGGTTTGGTTGGGTTGGGTTAGGTTTGGTTAGGTTAGGTTGGGTTTGGTTTGGTTTGGTTGGGTTGGGTTTGGTTGGGTTTGGTTAGGTTGGGTTTGGTTGGGTTTGGTTGGGTTGGGTTTGGTTGGGTTAGGTTAGGTTTGGTTTGGTTAGGTTAGGTTAGGTTTGGTTTGGTTAGGTTAGGTTAGGTTAGGTTAGGTTAGGTTTGGTTAGGTTAGGTTAGGTTAGGTTTGGTTGGGTTTGGTTGGGTGTTAGGCCAGAATATATATATAAACATGGGGTTGTTGACGAGAAGTTTACGAAAAGGCAATGATAAATGTTATTTATATGACCGGAAATATCGTTAGCATCATCTAGGGGAGCTGAAGATTAAATAATTCCTACTAGCTGGCCGTCAGATGTCTCCCAGCTGTCTCTCACCTAAAAGGAGATTTAATAATATCTTTCAATCCGTCAGGTTACGAGAATCACCCAAGAAAGGTATCGTTGAGGATCCGTTTTCTGTTGTTATGTCAGATTCGATGTTATTATCACAAGCTAACCTTCAACCTAATGTAAGTTAATCCTAGCTTGTAACCTGTCTAATCTAACGTTGATCTAACCTTTATACAACACAATGGCAAGTTAATCTAACCTTAACCTAATCCTAACTGTAACCTAGCCTAACACAATGTGAAAGTTAATCTAACCTTAACTGAAATCACAATCTAACGTTGATCTAACCTAACTTTAACCTAACCTAATGTGAGATTGAAATCAACGCCAACCTAATCTAACCTTGTAACTGTCTAACCTAAACCTAATCTAATCTAGCACGTTGATCCCAACTGCTTTAAACCCTAACCTAATGTGAATAATAACCTTAACCCTGTCTAACATAACTAATCTAATCTAACGTTGAGTCCTAACTAATTTAACCTAACACAGCCAGTCCTGTAAAGCACTGAGTAGAGGGACTGTACCTGAAACTATATGACCAGTCCTGTAAAGCACTAGTG